CTCTTTGGCAACCCAAATTGAACCATATGACTCAGGTGGACGATTAGACTAAACTGTGCGCCGTTTTCTTTCACTAGGTCTATAAAGCCCATAAATTGTTTGCTCCAAAAAACCGGGAGTTAAAAGCATCTTTGTTTTCCACTTTTAAATATTCTATACATTCAGCCAGCAGTTCATAATCCATGATCATCATTCATTTATTGACTAAACACGATACTGGGTGCCCCTTGTTGGTCGCTCCTGCTTAAATGACCTTATAGGACAGCAATTTGAAATGCCCCTCCGTGGAAAGGGAGACCGCGAGGTAGGTCATCCAAAGGTGGACGCAACTTGCTTTTATTTACTTATTTGTTCGAGGGGCGCTGATGGCCGCGGGTGGACTAGGACGAGGCTGGAACCGAAGGGAAGCGCGGGTTGTGAGCCACGGCCAGAGTTGGGAGCCCACAGAGGGTGGTGGGCAGCAGCGAAGCTCCACCAACTCAGTCAGTCGGACCCCAAAATCGACCAGCCCCTTCGCCAACCTCCCCCACCCCCCAAACTCATACAACATCTTAGATCCCTCCCCCTCCTCCCAGGCCTTTTATCCACCCGCCCGTCAGCCAGCGGCTCCCAGACCTCACGCCGCCCGCCTCCTTCCGCAACCGGTCGGGCGGCGCGCGCAGGCCTAGGGCGGCCCCGCGGCGCCCACGGTCCGGCCAGGACCCCGATCCGACCCCTCCGGCCGCGCCCCTCCCCCTTGTATAACGCACCTGCGGCCCCGCCCCCGGCCAAACGCTGAGGCGGCGGTGGGCTGGCGAGGCCGGGCGGCTCGGCTCTCGAGGCAGTCACCTTCCCTTCCCCCGCCATTCCTCCCACCCCCCTCGCTCAGCCACGGAGCTGCAGCCGCGTTCCTCAGCCGCCCAGAAATCTAAAGAGGTCCGTCTCCGGCACCACAACCAAATGGCTGAACCTCTCTGGCCGGCTGCGCAGCCCGCCCATTGGCCCCTTCCCCCCCGCCGCTGCCACCACTGGCTGTTGCCCGGAGATCCTCGGCGTCGATTGGCTGAAGCTGCTGCCGTTCATCCGCGCGGCCGCAGATCCCGCCTCCACCGTGATCAGGTTTGTGTGCGCCGCGGGTGCTGGGGGCTCGAGAACCGAGCGGAGCTGGTTGAGCCTTCAAAGTCCTAAAACGCGCGGCCGTGGGTTCGGGGTTTATTGATTGAATTCCGCCGGCGCGGGAGCCTCTGCAGAGAGAGAGCGCGAGAGATGGAAATGGACAAACGGATTCATTTAGAGCTGCGGAACAGGACGCCCTCTGATGTGAGCATTTGCCAAAAATATCTCTGTCGGTCCATTCTCCTACTTTGTGTGTGTGTGTCTGAGTGTGTGTGCGTTGGGGGGTGAGGCACTTTTTTTTTTGAGGGGGGGAGCCCGGGAGATGTGGGTTTGGGGGTCGGACTGCAAATGAATTACAAGGTTGGGGGTTGCAATGCCATCCGAACATGTTCCGGCTGCCGCCGCCGCTGCCCTTGGTGTGTGACTACCTGTGCGTGTGCTCCCGCGTGTGCGAGTGTGGGTGCGAGTGTGCACCCATCGGGGGCCAGCGGGCGCACGCGTTTGGGTCGGAGAGAATGAGGCAAAATGACCCTCTGAGCTCGCTGCTCCCATGACTCCGTCTGGGGGAAAAGATTAACGAGGGAGGAGGAGGAGAGGGGCTGCCTCCTGGATTTAACAACAACAAAAAAGGGGGTTTATATTTTATAAATGAATACCCCCTTCTAGCCCCCTCCCGCGCCTTCCCCCTCCCTTTCTCTCTCGCTCGCGCACACACAATAAGTTTTGGGCTCCGCGAGTCCGGTTTAGTTTCTGATAAATGTGGGCCGAGGCCCCCGGGGAGAGCGCGTGGGGAGGGGGCTGCAGTGGAGTTGGGAATGGCTGGAGTTTAAAGTGCGTCTTCATTTCTTTGCAGTGATGAGGCGAGAGACGGGGGAGCCATATTTGTAACTTTGTAGTGTTCGTGAACGCGCCCTTTCTCTCCCTCCCTCCCTTTCTCTGCCTCCTTCCTCTCCTCCTCTTTCTCCCTCACTCTTTCCACCCCACCTTCGGGCCAGATGCTGATATTTCTGCCTTTCCTTCGGAAGGCAGGATAAATGGGAAGGAGAGGGGGAGGGATTTTCGAACGTGCAAAGGCACCGATAATCCCCGCGCCTCCCCACCTCGAGCGATCGCTATTGCAAGTTACCCAGAGGCTACGTCCCGGTCCCCCCTCGCCCCTGCTCTTTCTGGATGCCAGCCTTCGAACCCTCGCGTCCCCGGCCGGTCTTTCTCTAGGGTGGGCTCCTTGGCAGCCACCTGGCTAATAAATGGGCACAGGAAACTTTGTCAGGACGCGAGCTGCCCGGAGCTGGTGCCCGTGGTGGGTATTGGCTGGGTCCAGATTGATGCGGGCATAGCGAACACGCAGCTTCGGGATGGGAGTTTGCCTTCCCGTCGCCGTTATTGATTGGGCAGCGGCGGGAGTAGGGCTGAAGGAAACTTACACGGCTGGGATCTGGGAGCTCAGCGAAAGCCCACCTCGAGGAGGGGGAAGGCCAGGGTGGGTTACTCGAACGCTCGTTTTTTGTTTTTGTTTTGTTTTTTTCTGGCTCCCTCTCGCTTTCAAGCAGTGTTTTATGCGAGTTGGCGGCTCTGCGGAGGAGACCCCGGGTCTGAAGCAGAGACGCTGGCCGACTCCTCTCGTCGCCCCTCGCGGGGACCAGGAGAGCACAGGCAGGAGGGCCTTCGCTCCAGCCTTAGTGGCCAAGGGTTCCAGAGTTGGGGGAACACTGTGACCTGTCGCCTCCCCCCACCCCCGCCGGTTAAAACCCGAATCCCTGGCGAAGACAGGCCTTGCTTCCTCTTTTCTCTAGTTCCTCCCCCAAACCTGAGTGAGACTTTTGAAAACAAGATCCTTTTTGTGCCTCTCCCCATCATAACGCAGCTGTGGACTGTAGACGTGCAGTGCCTGATGGCGCGCAGGGCGGGGAGGGGGTGGCGGAGGGCGGGGAGGGGTGCTCGGCGGAGAAGGCAAAGAGTTGCCTTGAACAATTTGCCAGTGGCTTGCCTTTTTCTGGCCAGTTTCGTCCTGGCTCGAACCCCCAGCCGGAGGATTTGGGGGCTGGGTGTGGTGGTGGGGGAGGGGGCCCGAGCCTCGGTCTTCCCGCGTACTTTCCGGAAGCCCCCTGTGCGGAGGGGGAAGGGCGCCGAGCAGGGGGCCTGGGTCTCCGCGGGTGGCTGTGTGTGGGGACTCGGATCACCTGGCCAACACCATCCACGGTGCTGGCCAACTGGAAGCGAGCTAGAAAGCGGGTCGAACCGGCTCTTTAAACTTCCCCGAGTGTGTGCTGGGGGAGGGGAGCGCGCCGAGCTGGGAGTGATTTCTCACGCTTCGCCCCCTCGCCACCCAGGCTCTCTGCCCACGCGCCCGCCCCAGGCCTCAAGGCCGGGTGGGGTTCAAAGTGGAGGGGACACTTTCTACACGTCTGGGGAGGAGGGAGAGAAAGCTAGCTAATGAGGGACAAAAGAGGTGGGGGAGGAGGAACTATTTTTTAACGTTCTTAAGACAAATAGCTTACAGAGAGCGCCCCCTGCGCCGGTGCCCACCGCGCAGCCCTCAGGGGCCCCCATACACCCACCTTCCGAGCCTCTCCCAACTCTGGTCCGGAGGCTGGTGGCCACGCCGCGACGCTGAAATAGGACGAGCAGCCATGTTTCCCGGGTCTCGCGCGGCCCGCCCCGCCCCTCCCCCACAGTGCGGCCGGCGCCGAGCGCGGGCCCAGAATGCGGGCCCGGGGCTCCCTGCGGGCTCTGGCGGGAGGGTGGCTGGGCCTGGTGCGGGCCGGCCGGGGCGTGGGCGCATTGGCTGGCACGGTGTGGGCCTTTGGACATCCCGAGCTGGTTTGGAGCTCGAGGTGTTTTATATACTATTTATTTAACGGCCAGGCCCACCCGAGGCCGAGCCCGAAGGGCGCCGAAGCGTTATTGGGGGGTAGGGGCAGCCGCCAGGGCCCTGCTTGCCTGTGGCACGACTGGCGGGCGCCAGGCTGCCATTTTGTCACCGCGGCTGTTGTCGCTGAGGGGGGGGGGGCAGAACCTTGCGCCATCACCCCGACGGGCCTGGACGTGAAGGCAGCAGGGGGAGCTGGCCCCGGGAACCTCAGATGTGGTCTGGGCCCCTGTGAGTGTTCGCTCCCCGTGCCACCGGCCTGAGGCTTTGCTGGAGCGTAGCGATTGCCCTTGCACTGGGAGGGCGACGGTCTCTCGTTCAAGCGCTCCTCTCTACCCCCCATGGTGCTCCCTCCCCCATCTTCTCTTCAGTAATTCGCCCTTCCTCCTGCAGGCGTTTAGACGTAGTTAAATGTGGCCCTAAAGAACCGATCGCCGTGGTGTTTTTTCACTCCTCGGAACTGATAGCAGGGTGGGGGAAGAAATTGAACAGGAGGTTTCTTTTTTGGGAGGGAACACTCACGCAACTCTAGAGGCCCCCAACTGAAGCCAAGGACAACTGCCGCTACCCGGGAGGGACGAGTTGTCGAGTAGTTGGGGAAACGCCCTCAGGCTGGGCTCTTCGGGGAAGGTAGGTCTTGCTCCGTGTTTCAGGTGGGTGTTGCAGCGCTCTGCAGGCTGCTAGGGGAGCCCCGCTTCGTTCTTCTCTTCCTTCCTCTTATTTTTTTCCTATGGGAAGGCAGCTACAGTGGCAAATGTAACCGTAACTGGAAAAGAGAAGGGAATACGGTTTGCTTTTTAAAAAGTAAGTGATGTCTTTCTGCCTAGTGCCTTTCTCTGGCTATTGACTGCAGAGGTAGACAAGGCGACCTGTAGGTGGCATCTCTCTGGGACTTTTTAAAGCCGATAGGATGCAGATTAAACACCTCACTGGTTAAACTGGTATCTGCATAGAGACTAGCTTTCATAGCAGTGCCGGGCAAAGGCTGCCCAGTAAGCCAGATTTAACTTTGACCTTTGGAATACACCGCATGATGTTTTCCAGTCTGACTTACTGCCTAATTGGGTTCAAGTAGCATGATATTAATTCCAGTTTATGCAAGCTGACCAGAAATCCACAGGCAGAAAATTGAGCATGAGCGTGGGGTAGTTCATGGTCAGTTATGTTTTGTTACTGAATTGCTGCTGCTGATGGTAGTTTTAAGTCTGGAGGCTGAGTCCACAGTGAATCTCGGTTCTGGAAACTGCACAGACCTGAGTTTGAATTCCCCCTGCCACAGAAAGGTAAGGTAAGTTACCCTGCCCCTGTGACTGCAGGCAGGTCAACCTAACCTATCTTTTTGAACCTTGGTTTCCTTACCTGGAAGACAGAAGTAATAATCCTGTTGAGTTAAGTGACAAAACTGGCTGCATCTGGCCCTCAGGTGCTTAGTCTTATGATAGTGTTATTCTCTGAGAGATACTGGGGTGCCAATGAGGCACAACTCTGAGCTCCTCTTTGGGTTAGAATAATAATAGCTAATGCAAACATTGTACTCATGCTGTGCCTGGCACAGTTCTTTAGTGGATTATGCATATCAATTAATTTAGTTCCCACAACAGCACTATGAGGTAGATACTCTTATTATTCTTATGTTACACGTGAGGAAATTGAAGACAGCTTATCTCAGCTGGTCTGTACTCAACCTCTATTCTCAGCAGCCTCTCCTGAAGCACCCATTTTTGTAAAATACCCTAGGGAAGAGCTTTTTTGTTTCAGTGGTTTTGAAACTTATTCACCTTATGAGCTAGTGAGTTTCCTGTTGTTGAAGGTATGAAGACTGGAGAGCCTTTAGGTTGTCTCTGTTGAAGATATTGATTGTGTTGGTCAGGACCAGAAGCTTTGTGGATTATCATCTTAAGGGGGAAGCCATACACTTTCTGGGTTTGGTTTAGCATGTCACCTCTGGTTAGGCTTAAATGAATCTGGCCTTTTAGGTGTTGGGGGATGTTTTGGGGGTAATGAGAAGACAAATAGGAACTTGTTAGGCAGTGGTTTATATGGGATCCTGGATGTAACACAGTTTCCATTTTTATTAGTTTCTATCTATAGTGAAAAACCAGAACAGAATTGGCATGTCCTTGGTGTCTAGGACTAGCACACTAATAACCACTCATGGATCATCTCAGTCCTCCCAACAGCTCCTTCAGGATAGGCTAAGCATTGTGACATTCTGTCCTCCCTGTTCTGAGACTAAATCATTGTAGATGGGAGAGAGGGTCCAGCCGTGGGACAGCAGGTATGCAGCAGAGCTGGGTTCTTCTCCCATTGTAAAACAGAGACCCTTTAGTGAGACAGCAAGAACGTTAAAAAAATTACATAGTCCAGTGGGTCCCAAACATGGCCCATCACCAGATACACCTGAGGAACTTGTTTTTGTACAACCCATGAACTAAGAATAATTGTACATATAAATATTGCACTCAGTTTGATCATATGGAACACTTAACTTTGCACCCCAATTAAGTAAATTAAATGTTACCTCCCCACCCAAAGAAGAATTTTACTTATGTTAGACCTTTATTACAAAAATTATACTCATTGTATATTTTTAATTTTATCAATAAAAGAATGGTTGAAATCTGTTTTCTCTCATAAAAGTGCCCTTTTAGTACTGTCAGTTTTGCCTCTAGGTAAAGTTTACTATCTGGTTCTTAACAGAAAAAGTTGGGTAATCCCTGGTTTAGTAGATTAGGAGGAGGGACCTGGAATCGGTTTTTAAGCTAAATTTTTTTTTTATTATTAAGTGTGTGGCAAGCCATGTATTTCATTAGTGTTTTAGGGGGCTTTTCAAGTCCTATTATGTGTGCCCTTTAACTAGTTGATACCTAGTGGAAATCAGATTCAATCCAAGAACCTGCATCAGAAGAGAAATTGTCCTTGTCACCCATTTAAAATTGAACACCCCTACTATCCAGAGGTTCTGTGTAACCAGCTAAAATTCTTTATCTTGCATACTCAGAATATTTTAAAAGGCTTTTGCATATCTTGTAGTTAAATGGTTACTCCTAAATTTTAGATGTCTTCTCGGAGCTAGAGGGAAGGAGCTTTGAACTGCAGCGGTTTGAGCTGTGAGAACTGTGAAAGGCACAGCAGCTGTATACCCAGGGGCTGACACCAGACTCTCAGAGCACAGGTCATTGAAAACCACAGATAACCCTGGAATCTCTTGTTTGGTCCCGCTGCTCTTACACCATCCATGTTTCCTGGGGAACAAATCAGCAGTAAAGTGGCTTTGCGTTTCAGAGCCCTTCTTTCTAACTCTAGCCTCTTGTGCCTGCGCTAATGAACAGAAGGAATGGATTTGAGGGTGGCCAGGCCTGGGGGAGAAGATACTAAATCCAAGGGAACAAACCCCAGTTCCCATAACTGTGGCCTGTATTTTAAGGACAGCAAACCGCAGACCCAGCTCCCAGTCTTAGCTGCTGCTGCACTGCCAGCCTCTCAAGGTGACTTACTCTACACTTACGCAGTCCTTCTTATTTGTAACACAACCACCTGATTGAGCTTTGAGGGCTGGTCATCCCAGAGCTTTAGTCCAAATTAATCATACCACATTGAAATAGAAAACTTGGGGCTGCTGATGATCCTTTATGGAGAAGTGTGTAGGATATCGTCGGATGTCTCCTGTCCACTGTGCCTGCCCTCTCTACCTCAGCGTAGTCACTTAGGAAGGGAGCAGAGAACTGGTTGGTGGCTGGCTGAGTGGTGATGGGCCCAGGTACAATGAACTTGGCCCAGTTGTTTGCCCTGAATTCTGACTGGGTAAAGAAGAGGCTCATCACTCTGGTGTCCAGAGAGGACACTCCCTTACAGATGTTTGCTGCCATGCCCTCCCCTGCCCCCATTCTGAACTGTCCATTCCCCCCCTGGCTCATTCTGGTCTCCTCGAAAGTGCCCCCCACGACTGCCCATCACCACCGCCTTCTTGCCGCAAGTAGAGAAACATGGACCTGACTCTGGCTCTTAGCATTACATTGAAATATAATTTTACAGCAAATGATAAATACTCAACAATGATGTTTTCATTAAAGAGATGGAGTCTGGCAGGGATGGAGAATTGTGAAGGCATCTGTTGTTCAGAACTTCTCCAATAAAATTTGTCGAAAGAGATGCACAAAGCACCCGTGGCCCTGGGCCACCTGCCCAGACATGGAAGCAGCCTCCTTGTGTAGCACCAGTTGTCCTGATGATATTTGTTAATACAAAGTCTGTAAACAAGATAAAATGTCTTTGTTCTACCACACCAGGCCCTGTTCTGTGCTTACTGGGCCACACCCTGCAATCCCCCTGTTTTTACTCAAATTCATTTTGTTTTAGCTCCACCACTGCCTCCGTACACTCATTTTATCTTCTCCTTTACCCAGACTTGCTCCAGGCAGCAGACCTAAAAGATCAGCTTACTTTACTATCTTTTACTCTAATGTGGATTAAAGTCAGGGCTGCCTTTCCCAGAAGTATTTGCTTTTGGAGATTCCAGTTTGGTGAGGAAATTACCAGAGAACTATTAGAGACTTGAGTGCTGTTCTCAGCTTTGCTATTAACTAACTTGGCCATGTTGTTCAGCTGCTTTGCGCCTCTGTTTTCTTTACTCTAAAATTGGGGTGTTGAATTAGATCAGTGGCTTTCAAACTTTTTGATCCTAACAGTAAGAAATGTTTTACACCAGTACCCGGTGAGCATATACATACGTGTTATTTCAAAAACTGACAGTGAGCCCCTTACTCTGTGTAAAACACTTATTGTTCACTAAAAGAAATGTGCTGGCTTTGACCCATAAATTGATTTCATTACTTCTTAGTGTTTGAAAGACATTTAAAAGAGAATATGAAGGTTCCTTCACACTCAAGTATTTATTTTGTGGTTTGATGTGGGGAAATTTGTAGCATTGTGAAGGTCAGTGATTTCTCCTGTTTTTAAACCTCTGAGGTCCTTTTTTCCTTTTTTTTTTTTTTCTTCATGACATTAGGGAATCATTATCCTAAATTCCTACCCTAGATGGATGCCCATGTCTGGAGTTGCTGGTTGGGTCCGTGGCCCAAAGTCAAGCATGTTTCTCTACCCTCTTCTCTAGCCTTCAGTCACCCATTGCCCTCCATCCTTTGATGTCCTGCACACTTTGCAAGTTGCCTGGGGCTCCCACATTTATTTACCAGGGTTGGGGGAAAACGGTTGTAGAGAGAAGAGTGCACCTGGCAGCCTCTCCCACCCAGACTGCCTGGGTGTTTCATCCTGCCCCTCCCCACGCCCACCCCCACCCCCTTCAGCTGTGGCACCTGGGCAAGCAAGCCCCTTAGTCTCAACAGCACCTTCCCTGTCTGTGTAAAATGACCCTGTGCTTGTACCTGGCACACAGTAAGCGCTTAATAAATGTTCTGTGTTGTTATTACGGTTAGTTATGTTAGGACACCACAGTTGGCATTCAATTAAAAATAAACTTTACCATATCAACAGACACATTATATACAAAAAAGTAACATTTGTTTCAATGGGAAAAGAGGTTAGAAGCTATAGATTCAAAATTGCCAGAAGTTATTTTTCCCTGCAAGCAATTCAGCAGTAAATTTGTTGCTTCTAGATGTGTTTATAAACTATACCATCCAAACAACGCAGGGCAGCCCGAGCGTTGGATTGCAGGTGGTTTCTGCTGAGGAAAATGTCACGACTTGCCTTTCTCCTGGGCAACTCCTTTCGTCACTGCCCTCAGCAGCTATTTCAGACTCTTCTCCTTAAACTACCCACTTACCCTCTCAGACCTTTTTCCTCCTGGCCACAACCTCCTCCTTCACAGAGAAAATTGAAACCTCCTGGTTTCCGAAGAAATTCTTGCACCAAGTCTGTGCCCAGCTCACCTGCCCTTTGGGTCTCGTCCCTGCCTGCTCTCGTCCTCTTCTTTCTGGGCACCTGGCCACTCTTGTGCGGATGCTGCTCCTGCTTGGGATGTTTCTCTGATCCCTGAGCAGACAAAAAGCCTCCCTCCATTCTTTTATCTCATTGCACTGCGGTATTGCCCATCTCTTCCCTTTCACATACGGCTTAATGAGTGGTCTATAACGACCTTCTGCATTCCCCGACTTCTCTGGTGTGCTTCCTAAGCAGCTTCCAAAACCCCAACAGCCTTCGCTGTCTTCTCGTGTGTGACTCCCCAGCAGCAGCATATTTACACCCTGACCTTCAGGAGATACCTTCCCTCTTGCTGCTGCCCCCCACCCCCCCTTCCTCTGGTCGTTCTCCTATAACTAGC